TTTAATACTCCAAGGGACTTCAGTCTGTTTCTTCTTAATGTCTCAGTCACAATGGCCACAATTCCTCAGGCTACACTAAAATTGTTCACCAGGACCATTCCTGATTTAAGCATGATACTTTCATTCCCGTGGGGGCCGGAGGGTCAAGGCCCCAATGTGAGCCTCCCTCCCTCCCTTCTATACGTGCACCAGAGAAAAAAACTGCACATAGTGATATGAAGGAAGCAGGAAGATAATTCTGGCACTTGTAACATCATCTAAATTGGACATGGATAGATATTTTAATGTTGGTCACACACACACACAAAAAACCATTCCTGCAACTTTCCTCCTTGTCTACGGGAAGGGGATAGAAATACACAAGGACAAGGAGCTCATTATAAGTGAGGGAAAATTCAAATGCATCTAAAGTTCACCCCAGAAGATGGTAAAGTTAGGATGTGCCGCTGAAAGGCCTAAAAAGGGTGGCTTTAGGAGACCTCGATATTGCGATAAACCCTCGGAGAGGCATGTTGTTCTCCCCTCTCCAGCAAAGGGAGGATCAAGGAAGTTTTCTTCTTTTTACAAAGCTGGGGCTGCCAAATGATGTTGCAAATCACAGCAAGTACTACGAAACTCCCTCCCTCTCCCTCTCTGTCTGTACGTACATGCATGCCTTCCTCAGATACCAATTCAAACACACAACAAACAACAACAAAAAACACCAAGGAAAACCAGCTAGGAAAGTACCTCCTCAACTCCCACGCAAGACTGTTTTCCCATCTACTAGGTAATAAGACCAGAATAGAAATCCACTTCTGATTTTGCAACCTCCGTGCCCCAACTCTGAATTATTTGAAGAGGGGAGGAGTAATAGGAACCATCAATTCTAACGTAACATTAAAAGACACCTTTGGCACAAAATGAAAATGTATCCTGACCATCAACAAACAAGCTTCTATTTAAGAATAGAGAGTAATTTCACTATCTCTTTCCCCAGATTCACCAGTCAAGCTTGTTCCCCCATGAGGTAACCGTGCAAGTCTATTTTTCCCATGATGACTCATTAGGTACGCTCCATA